ATGAGTCTTACCATCTCAATGAACTTGTGATCTTCTCTTGAAAATCCAACTTGTTCGTTTTTGTTACATTCAGGAAAATCGACCTTGAATTGTTGTTGCCAAAGCTCTCCCAAGTTTGAAACTGAAATCCTGTTGACTGTAACATCAGGATACTCAAAGGAAGACTGGTCCCCATCATCTCCTCTTAGTGGTCCATTTACTGTCCATCCCAACCTGGTTTTAATTGCATATGGTCCATTATTGACACTGCAGATCACTTGAATTGGCTCCATAACCCTTGGGGCATTGATTCCTATGAGTAATTCAACCTCAGAGTCAATTTCAGGTAGAGTCACATGTTTCAGATGAGGCCATCTCTTTAGATCCTTTTGTCTTGGGATGTTTCCGCTATGCACAGGCATGGTATTTTGTGTATAGGCATCAGGCAACTCCCAAAAGTCGTCTTTGTTCAAACCTGCCACTTCTAATCCAGAAACCACATGGGTAGTTGTGACTTTCTCCTGTCCCATAGTACGCAAGAGAATGTTAGTCTTTTTACCTGAAAGACCAAGTCTGTTCATCAATGCAGGTGTACAAAATACTGCAGCGCTACCTTGATCCAGAAAAGCGTAAGTAACAACAGTCTTATTTCCTTTTTTAGATTTCACTTGTACAGGAACCACTGAAAGTTTACATTCAAATTCACCAGCCCCAATAAATCCACTGGACTCAACAGATCCCGAAACACTGCCCATTACAGTGTCCATTTGTCTCCTGATGGGGTTTGAATCGATCTCCTTTTCTTTAGGATAGATGTGAAGTATACTTGGATGCTTAAGATTACACACTTTACATGAAAGGCGATTTCTACAATCTCTACTGATGTGCCCTGTGCACATACAGCCAAAACAAACGCCATTCTCTTTTAAGAACGCAATCTTCTCCCCGTGACTCCTCTTTTCCAATAGAGGGCACCATTCCAGAGCATGTCCACGTCTACAAAACAAACAACTCTTGTTGCTAGGTGAAACGATTTCCTTTTTGCTGGTTCCAATTTCTGATTTAGTTTCCATTGCTGTAACGGTAGTAGCAAAACTGCTTCTTTTAGATTTGAGATAAGACTGAGGTTTGCCTTTGTTCAACATTTTACTTCCTGTTAATACTGGACTATCCTGTATGTCTCCAAAAACTGGATCACTCATTATTTTTACTTGTCTTTCAACAAAGTTAACAATGTCGCTGAAGGTAGCTCTTTGATTGACAGCTTCCTGCAATTCACAGACTTCAGATCTCCATTTTTCCCTCAATTTGTATGGTAATTTCTTTACTACAGTCAACATATTAGAGGGCGTATCCAACTCATGAAAATACTGAATATCTTCCATGGAGTTACAACAACTTCTTAGGAACAGACTATAATCCTGTAAAGCTTTGACATCTTCACTTTTGATATTTGACCATGAAAGAGCCTTTTCCATATAGGTAGATGCAATTATACTGGTCACCAAAGTGCTCTTGAAGTAAACCTTTGGCTCTTAAATACCCACGGTCGGCAGGCATATGCTGGCAACTTTTTATAATCTCTTTTGGATGACCCCTGGTATACTGTTCCAGAAAGTATAAGCGGTCACTCGAGCTTTCAGTTTTACTCTCCACACCACTTTCAAAAGATTTCATGAAGGCATGATATTGTAGTGGGTTTCCATCGAACACTTGAATTTCCCTTTTAGGCAAAGATGACAAACACTGTTGTTGAATCAATAAAGATGTAATTTCATTTTGTTTATCCATAATATGAAGAACTTGATCAGTATTTCCTGGACCAGCATTCACAGTTCCGCTTGGAATTGTTTGACTCAACTTTGAGATGTTCTGGGAATAAATTGTCTGAGAAACATTCCCTTTGTTTGCCTTGACACCTGCATTACCACCATCCTTAGAAGAAACAATTTGAAGTGTTCGAGCTGTAGGAGTAAATGAAATTGCATCAGCATTGAGAGTCTGTGTTGCCTGTTGTCCTCTATCAAAATAGGAATTCATTCCATCAGACCGATGAGTCATCACTTTTAACATAATGCACACTAGAACCTTTAAGCACTTTCACTTTTGCAATTGTTGCAGCAATCTTCATACGCAACTCAAAACCCTCTTTCTGTTTCCTTAAGTTCTGTTCCTTTTCTTCGATTGCATGTTTTTCCTTCATTAAATTTTGGCGTACCAACAAAGCTGCAATTTCAGCCTCTGCATTAATGCGGGCCGAAGTGGAAGTTGAACGTCTTGAGCTGCGTTGACTTGATCCTTGACTTAATCCTTTACTTCCGACATTGGAAATACTGTCACTTGGCTTTATATCATCCTGATGGCTGGAAATTTGTGACATATTCTGATCTTTTGGATCTTCCAAAGGGCATTCGACTGTTGTCAACTGTTGATCCTGGTTATCGTCAATTGACTTCTCAATTCCATGTATCCATTGCTTTGTCTCTTTTATAAAATCCTCACAGTGCTTGTAAATTTTGGAGAACCACTCATTTTGTTTAATTAGCTCGTCAGTAGGCAATAATGAAATCACTGAATCATGAAGCTTGACGGTCTCTTCAAAAATTTGCACCAAAGTTTCAAGTTCAGACTGTACCGCTGGAACGTTCTCATTTTTCAGCATGAGTTCTTTGATAGATGGTATTGAACTTTTAATCACATTTACGTTTCTTTTTCGTTCTTTCTGAAGCTGCTCAAGTTTATAAGCCAAAGCCTTTGCTGTGAGTTGAACTTTTCTTTTACATGCATCCTTTTCAGGTTCAACATCCGCACCCGTTTCCATCCCACTCATAGTTGAAGCACACACACCTCAGCGCAATTAAACAGGCCACGGCGAACAAGCGAACACAATCCAAAACAACGCATCGGATATGTCTCACAACATCAATAGATCCGCAAAGCCCAGCAGTCTAACCACGATCAATCAAACACACCAACAGCGCTGCATCAATCGTAAACAAACCGCCGAACCATTTCAAATCATCCGCGAACTCAAGCTTCAAAGACGTAAGAACCCAATGTCCTACCAGTTCAACAGCAGCATACGTTTCCAAAGACATCTGTCCTGTTGCGTTGAACGTCCCAGTGTGCGATGATTGTTGTTAGCAGCAAACATATCCAATGTCGGTCCTATTGTGTTGAAAGTCCAATGTGGAATCCTTTTCCTTAAAACAAGCGAGAGCAGGGCGAATCTCCGTCAGTTGGTGCTCTTAATCCTTTCCGTCCAGTAAAAGTGTGAAGGCCTCTTCATTCGTCCAAAGTCGACACGTTCACGTTCTCAAACAAAGAATCTTTGTTGACTAACTTGTAGCGGCTCATACAAACGAACCAAAGACCGCTAAGGAACTGAGTGACTGGAATAACTTTTGTGACGCGTTTCTTTGTACAGCTTGCATGATGTTTTATTTTTACAGGCTTGCACGCTTTACACGTTCAACAAAGATTCGTGCTCCCGCACTCACCCCCATTCTTCCATATTAACGCCGCCTTCACACTGGCAGTTGAAATCAGCTCCGATGCGGCTGCGAAACGACCGGAAGTCATTCATTTCCTATGGAGATTCGCAGACCGCATGCGAATGGGTCCGAAACGGGTCCGACCGAGTGCGGTGCGAAGAAAATCGTGTCCGTTGGTCATCCGGATGCGTTCAAAAATTTGAACTCTTGCGAAAAGCTACGGACGGTTCCTATCCGACAATTCCAGCGGAAGTTGACCGTTGCTATGGTACTGATAAACAAACCTGAATTATTAACTTTTAATAAAATAAATATTGATTTTATAACGATAAGTTGTGATGTCATTTTTTATTTTCATGACTTTCTAACGTTTATAAGGGCAGTTAATACAATTAAATTGAAGGTAGACATTGAACTATTGACCACTATATCACATTTTTTAGCCGACCTGACATGTCAACGTCCTGACCAACTTTCCTCACGCAGCATAACCCTAATCAGAGAGATCATACAGAACTGACAGAATCAAACTTTAATCTCTCCGCCATTTTTGTTCTACCCGCGTCCGACGCTTTTCACTGTGTAGTACGACGTCCGTTGGGAACGTATTGCGTATTACGGAGCTGATTTCAACTGCCAGTGTGAAGGCAGCGTAACACACACAAACAACAGGTGTTTTAACCACACGTAATAAACGACACGCCCATTATCATTTGGTCACATGACTTTCCCATTAAATGGCTCCTACAAGCTGTATATACCAAGCGTGACAACAATCCTTCAGTTTTTGATAATAATATTCTTCCTTTTAATGAAAGATATCTCATTAACCATGAGTTTAATTTTGGTTTAATTTTCCTAATAATTGGTGTAAAATTCAAATTGTTTCTCTCTTTTTTATCTTTGCAGATCCAAATACCTAAATAATCTACTATCACCTTTACTGGAATACCAAATATGTTATTATGATTACATGTTGCGTGCATCCTGTCACCGTAAACTGCCCTGTCAATCATCTTGTCACAGTTAAAATCCAGTTAAAATTCATCTGCCAGTTGTGGGTCTTTCATGCTCTCCTCGTGTTTGCAATTTGAATATAATGATGCATTTAAAACGTAATAGCTAAACGTGTCTTTACAAAAGTTCACAATGCTGCTGCAAATGCAATATAATGTGGACAACATTTAATAAATTCATTTTCGTCAGGTTAGATACTGATAATTAATCACTCAAAGCTCTTTATCTTAACCTCTCTACACAACCGCGGGGACTCGCGCGTCCTCCGTATCGACTACGTGTCTGTAGTTTTTTTTACTTTTTACTCGTGTTTGTAGTTCTAACCGAATCCTCGTCCGACTCCAACGCGCAATGGTTTGTGGGCAAAATCAGCCGTTAGAGTGTGCATCGATCTACACTTCGGATTCTGACCGGAAAAAGTAGACCATCCGGGTATCTTTGAAACACTCATTTCAACATACTACGATTTGGGACGTACTAATTCTATTTTCGAATACTATTTAGGACGGATAGTATGCGAATTGGGAGGCAGCATACGAGAAGTGAAACTGGACTGCACTTATCTCAATCCTCCCCAGGCCACAGCTGCACAGCAGCATTCTCGTCTACTTTGAAGGTGAGGCGTTTGGCATCGGCTCCTTTAACTCCTCCTCCACCTGTCCTGCTGGCCTGACTACTAAATAGATCTTCCGTGTAGTTCATGCACCAGAAGCGGATATTGACACCAGGAGACACGATGTCTCTCACTGTGAAAAACATTTCTGTTATTTACACTCCTATCAATGAGACCAATACCTTCACCAGCGGGGATGTTATATCGGGACAAGTCCTTCTGGATGTAGAAAAGGACACGCAAATTCAGTCTTTGAGTGTGAAAATTAAAGGTAAAGCACGGGTGTCCTGGAGCGAGCATTACGGTAAAACCACGGTTGTGTACTCTGATAAGGAGAAGTATTATTCTATGGAGATGTTTTTCGTTCGGGAGGACAAAACAAATGGTAGGAGCAACTTCAGCTGTAGTTTTATGTCACAATTCGGCGAAGTCAGATTTAATCAGCATTGTTTTGTGTTGCAACTTAGGTAATGACCATAATACGCTAAAAGATCCATCAGGACAGCTGTGTAAGTCTGTTTGCAATTTAGATGAATAATGCAACTTGTTCTTTGAAAACTGAAAAACGTACTGATCTTTGGTTTGATTTTTTGACTTGTTAGATCCTTCGGTTGTGGCACCGGGTCATCATGTTTACCCTTTCAGCTTTCAGTTGCCTCTACAGTAAGTCTGTTTGTTGCATATCTTAAAGTTGCGTGTGAATGTGGGTCAATGACAATAAGAATGCCCGAGATAATATAAAATAATTAAACGAAGTTTAAAACAAATATACCAAGTCATTATTTTATTTTATTTTTTTATATTGTTTTCAGTAATGCAATATTTTGGTTAATGTTTTCATATTTTTTAAACGTCACCTGTTGAGTAGTATTCATCATAGACAGGTGTTCATGATGTGAATGTTGATATGCATCTTCTTCTGAGACTTCTTCTATGGCGTACGTTTTGCGTGCTGTTCTTAAGTGAGCGCGCACGCACAGTTGACCACTATCTCTTTTTTTTATTATTTTTTTTTTTATTGCAAGTTTATTACAAACTCTCGTGGAGACAATATCAAAAAAACAGACCAGGCATCAACAACATGCAGATTGACAATGAAAAATAAATAAATAAATAAATAAAATAAATTAAAAATAATACATAAAACAAGGCATAGTTTTCAAATAAATAATGTGTTACAGGATCAAAAACTTTTCAGCAGCATAACATACATCTTCTACAGTTTGTTTAGATTTCTTTACAAGGTTCAAGGAGGATAAAAACATAGAAAATTCATTTTTAAAACAGTTTACATTTGGCAATTGTTTTTTCCATTTATTTTTGTGAATGTGGTATTTACCCATAATGATGATAAGGTTAATCAAAATTGAAAGGTCCCTTGTTATTTTGGAATTATAAATTAGAATATCTTCGATGGTAAATTGTTCAAGTTCACTAATTTTATTTTTCAACCAGCTGTGGACATCTTGCCAGAACTTCCTGCTAACTGAGCAAAGGAAGAATAAATGTTCTGTTTGTTCTGGGTGTTCATGACAAAAATCGCAAGGGTCAACTTCAAAACCAAATCTACCCCTCAGTGTCTCCGCAGATGGATAGTAGTTGTTAAGAATTTTAAATTGCATTTCTTTTACTTTGGGTGCAATTGGCCATTTTATAAATTTCCAATGTTTTTCTATAATTGTTGGATTATCTAATATTTTAAGTTTTATCTTCCTGTCATAATCATGATATATATAACCTTTGAACGCTTTGTTTAAATATTTGTTATCACATTTTTTGTCCGTCAGGTTCAATTCCCCTATCGTTAAGTTTGGAAGCTTGATTTGGACATTAGAAAAAATAATTGTGTTTTTTATCTGCTGTATCAAATTCACTGGGATGGATTTACAGATTGTCCTATATTCTTTAAGAGAACATTGACTATTTTTAAATTTGTTTTTTAGATCTTGCAGCTGTAAGATTTCCCCATTTATATCTAAAATGTCATGTACAAAGATAATACCTTGTTCAAACCACAGTTGGTTGAACAAAGACTTTTTGTTTGATACAATAACTCTATTATTCCACAAGGTGGCACAGTGAGGGGTAAAGTTATGGGTAAATACCATCTTCCAATAATGCAAAACCTGTTTGTGAAACTCAGATAATTTGAAAGGTATTTTGGAAATCTCAAAATCACATTTCAGAAGAAAGTTTAGCCCGCTGAACATCTTGAAAATACTTTTTGGAATGTGGAACCATATCGAATCTGGCTTCACTTGACCACTATCTCTCTGCCATTTTGGCAGGCAAATCAGGAGAGCGCCAGAGCGGCTGTAATATCGGCAGCTGACGTCACGCAATCTAAACTCCGCCATTTTGGCAGGCAAATCAGGAGAGCGCCAGAGCGGCTGTGATATGATTTAAAGTCTATTTAAAATTTAAAACCATAAAACTTCAAAATGACTTCGGGGAATGTTTAAACTGTTGATTAAAGCCACAATATGTAATTTTTCTGCTTTAAAAATAGCAAAAATAACTGTATCTATGTTATATATTTCTATTAGATGTGTACTTACATTATCCCGACAGTTTCCACCAACTTTCAAATACGGAGAAATTTATAGTTTAATTCGAAGACACGGGACGTTTCTTTATTTCCGTTTCGTCGCCCGTCTATGGCGTCATATAACCTTTGACTCCTCTATTTTCTCTAACTTCCTTGCGGAACCCGGCGAAACCGCCAAACTCAAAGGGGAACACTGGACTACCGCCAATAAAGAAAAGAAAATGACGAAGAAAAAAAAGTAGTACGTATTTTTATGTGTGTAAATCACGTGCCCGCTCACGAGCGCTCACTCTTAACAGACACACTGTCCCCGGTGCTGCTCGCGCATAAAGCGCTCCCCGTTCACAGTAACCGTGTTGTCTCATTCAAATCAGCCAACTGTTGCTGTTAGCGAGAAATAAACGCCTCACCTCCGGCGCCGCGCACTCACTACATTCCCTTTAGCCTTTAGCACATAGTGGATGCATAACGCAAACCCAGTCAAACGTTTGACTGCAGTATCTTATGTGCTTTATAATCCGGTGCGCCCTATATATGAAAAATGTTCTAAAATAGGTCATTCATTGAAGTAGCGTAATATTAATATTTATATTCGTCTGTATAGTTATGGACCACGATTACGCTTTGCGTGCACGTTCTGCTGCTACAGCCAGCTCATTAGCTAAAGCTCAAACGTACCTGAAAAATATGACCCGAGAAGGGTTTGGGACAGGAGAAGCATGACACAGGTAAACATTGGGGTTGCATTTAAAGCTTCTTGACAAGCTAAATCTACAGAGAGATGCCGTATATCCGAATATTTTGTGAAACGATGATGTCATGTCATGAGCTGAGCTGGTTGTCATTGACAGCGACAACAACTCCCGTGAGCCCACGCTCTTTCCCGACGTCATCAAAGTACGTCTTTTGTTATTATTTTAAACGAGTGACCCCTGGTGGCCAAAAATCGCATACTGTACGTTTAACCCATTTAATCCCACCATAAGGATATAAAAGAATAATTGTACAATAGTGTCAGTAAAGATATTATCATTATCCCATAAAACACAATGTTTCACACACTTTCCATAAACGGTTTTTCATTTTTTTTATTTTTATTTATTTTATTGATTATCCATATTGATTATGGACAACTAATGACACATCATTAGGATATTTTCATGTCTGGGAAAAATTTGGGAAAGTCAAAAAAGACTTGAAGAGGCTCCCTTCACCAGTAATTAATTTTTCTATGACCCTCCAAAACGATTGTGAAAAAAGCATGACCCTCCCCGATAATTTATTGATTACTTCTGTACTGGTTTGCGCTTGGCAAAGATGTTCAGATAGCCTTTTTTATTTATCAAATTTTTTTTTTACAACTAACAAACGACTAAACTCCTGCTTTCTCATCCTACTAAGGCTGTAACAATATAGCCTACCAAAATTTGGTTCGTATCATGATTTTTTTATTTTAGATTTAAAAAAATAATAATACTAAAAAAATCACGTTTTTGGTGCTGAGGCATGCAACATTTACGGTGAGTTATGGTTTATTTATGACAGTTCACGTGCCGGCATCTGTTTCTTTTCTATCGTCTTCTACATTTACGTCTTATTTATTTAATCAAGGCAATTGGTTGATGAAGCATTAATTAAAATAAGATAGGAATTGTATAAGATACAATTAGGCTACTTTAAAGGCTGTGCTTTCTGAAGTCTGTGAAAGTTTTAAATTCGGTCTATAATGGAGAACTGTTATGTCCGTTACATTTTTTTTTTCCCTCATAAATGCACGAAAAATAAAATAAATAAAAATATATGTTCTGTGGAGGCTGACTCTTCTTCCTCCTATTAACCTACTTTCAGGAAAACTATCAGTTCCTTTATCAATACACAGAAAAGCACCCCGGGGGCATTATAGATCTACATAGATTATACATAGATTATATGTATTTTTGAATTAAAGTGTGCTGTGAACTCTGTCGCCTTGAAACTAAAGCCATCATTTATTCACGTCCCGGTCCTTGATCGCCTTGCCTGCCAATATGGCGGTTTAAACAGAGTAGGTCACGTGACGTCCGGAGTTATATATCTGGGGAGACTTCAAAGTGTCTGACAGACGTTACAACCATAGACAGTAAAAGAAACACTTCGGTTACAACATTGAATGTATATCCAGCAATTCCCCACTTACTGCATGTTGGTTATGGCCAACTAACTTTGATTTGGTGGATAGTTTTTCGAAAATGAGGCATAGTAATATTTTTTAATGGCTTAACAGCATGTTTAATATAGATATATTTCTAAAGATATATTTCTAAATTTCTTATTAAAGGGCCTATGCAAGATAAATTAGTATTGTTTTAAGCCTGATAAGGCCTGTTATAAGTGTTTATATTTTAGACCGAGCAGAATGTTTTTTGCGCAAAATTGCATACTTGCGTCAATTGCCCGTGCGTGTCTCATCATATCCATAAATAAAGAAAATTTGCTCCGTGTTGACATGGAGCAGCTAAATCTCCAACCTCCGGGGAATAGACCGTAAATTGAGTCCTGCAAATTAGAACGCCAAAACAAGAACCAACATTGGTTTGGCTTTTGGAGATGGCGAGAACTGAGGGATATGAAATGTTGTAAAAGCGATTTTGAGATGGTGTTTTTATTACTCAGTAGGTCAGTAAGATATTTTGTTAAACAGATAAATTGCAAAATGTAGCTTTCTAGAGTTCATTGTAAAGTATTATCTATTGTTAAGGCTGATCAGACTGATCTCATGAAATGGCATATGTAAGACACGGCAATTCATATTTCCATTTTTGCTGTGCTATCAACATGCACAATCGCTTTTCAGCGTGTTTATGACCGCCATTTACTTAACGTTACATTACTGTATAAATATATGACCTACCCCAACACCGTCCCTAAACCTACTCGTCACTGGGGTTAATAACATTTATGAGTCTTCCCCTACCATCCTAGGAAAAAAATATCGCTCCCCAGATGTAGATCTACATTTTGCTTCTGCTCGGACATTTAACTAACTTGGTCTACTGTAACATCTTCATCTAATTAGATTTAGTAAGTTTAGATGGGAAGGTTCTCAAGCTATTAAGCCTAGTAGTGAATGTTTTATGAACAGTGGAATAACCATATTCATCTAAAGTCACACAATGCCAAAGCACAACCAAAACAATGTTCTTCTACAAAATTGAAGAAGTTTTGTTTTTTTATCCATCTTAGGGCCAAAAATTACATAGTGTAATTTTAATAAAATAGAACATTTTACTTCTGCCAATATTTCCTTTTTCAAGATTTTCAAACTTTTAATGAGACTTTACTTTCTGCTGGACAATTACGCTTTTCCGCTTGTGTACAATAAAACGACTGACAAACGCTGAATTCTGAGTGTGAATCACCGTTGAATTTCTATATTTATACATTACATAATTTTCTTATAGGCACTTCCCACCAACCTTCAAAAGTGCAATTGGAAAGATTGCTTACACTTTGGAGACAAAATTATCCAGATCAATGCGTGTTTCTAGCAAAGCCAAAGCAGAGTTTCACTATGTCTCCAGTCAGGTTGTGTCTAGTCCTGAACTAATGGTGAGATAATGTCTAAAATCCCATGTACGGTCTTTCTAATCTATACTATACATTCCTCTACTATATGTTGGGGTTCAGACATCTCTGTTTTACACGTTTTTTCTTGTTTAGGTGCCTCAGTATGGAAGCAAAGAGAAAAAAATGAAACTCTTCCCCTCTGGGAATGTCTCCATGGACATAAGCACTGAGAAAATGGGATACTACCTCGGTAAAATTATAGTTCTTATTATAATGTCTCAGCAGTGTTCATGTTTTCTATTTGTCAATAAACAAATAAAAGTTTGATTATTGTATACACAACCATTTCTGTATTGTAAGAAGATGAAATGGGTCCTTCATCTGAACCCATGCATCACTTGTAGAACTTTCTACTCGTTTTTGTTTTGTTTTGTTTTCCCCAATGCAGGGCTTCATTGACTTGTGGAAAATCGTAATTTACAGGGCTTAAACAAAATGTATACATAAAATCAGGGCTTGACATTAAGTTTTTTGCTTGCCAACCAATGCGTTTAGTGGTTTTCCGAATTTACTACTACTACTATTGGTACATCGATACCAAAGGGAAAAACTGCCATATAGATTTTTAAAATATTATCTCATAATTTGGCAGCTGGAATATTAGGCTGCTGTCACTTTAAGAACTGACGCAAGGATCCATTTTACTGTTATACATGCATATTCTTTCTCAACTATTCACGTTCACTTAAAACATAACAGACTGTGTTTACGTGAATACTTACCAAAGACTGGTGTTTTGCCATTTTATTGTGTGTATTTGATTGTTTTTACTGCTATAAGCAGCGAAAAATAACTCTAAAATAAAATAAAAATAATACTGAGAGGCGGCTTTATGTGACGCACTTTGGGTGTGTGGGTATGTGGGAATTAAAGTAAAATTATGCGCAATACACTCAATCCCACACCGAAATTGAAGCCTTGTAACACCGACAATATTCATGAGGAGCAAATAAACCCAATGAGTGAGTGAGGGGAGGCGGGTTTGTGTGTCACTCGCTGTTGGAGAGATGAGAGACAGAGAAAACTTTGCTGGTATCATGTATCTATACTGCATAAAATGAGCATTGAAAGCTTTTCAGATATTTCGGTATATGTAGCTAAAAATCGACAAGGTGGGTGTTCATGTCAAGGTCTGCACATTCACACAGTCATAATATTATCAGTACTGTTTTCTTCATAAATTTTGAATCGTGTATTTTTATATGTAACATTCTGAATTAAGAGGCATTAGGAATTAAAACGGACATTTACAGTTTCTTGTGATATTTTATCATGTAATTTCAATTGACCTTATTGTGTCTCACTACAGGAGAGGGCTTGAAAGTTTTGGCTGAAGTTCAGAACAACTTATCCCGTGCAATCAAGCTAAAATACTGTCTTTATGAAAAACACACTTTTTTCGCCAAAGGAAGGAGAAAACTTCACACACATGACCTTTTTAAAGAGGAAGGAGAAACCATTGAGCCGAACTCAAAGAACACGGTCACAAAAGTGCTGTCCATTCCTCCCAGCCTTACCATCTCTATCCTAAACTGTAAGGTCATCAATGTTGAGTACAGGCTCCGGGTGAGTTTCAGCATCTACAGCAAAGACATAAAGTCAATCATAGCAATAAAGTGAACAAATACATTAGATTGGCATCACTGTGTGTGCTACACAAATATGAACAATGTTCTTGTTTTATTATGTGTGCTTTTATTAGGTCTACCTGGACGTGCCTTATGCCTCAGACCCGGAGGTCAAATTCCCAGTAGTGGTTCTTCCTCTTCAGTCTGGACCAGGTGCAAAAAGTGCTACAAACAGTGATTTTGGGATCTGGAATCAGCCACCAGGAGGCAATTTGAACCCCAGCCCACTTCAAATGCCTCCATCTGGTCAGTTTGGTGCCTCTAGCAGCTACTACGGACCTCCTCTGAGTCCGTTTCCTGCTCCTGGTTTCCCTGGACCACCGGATCAGTTTGCTCCTCCTAGTTACGTCGGAGCTCCTGGTCAATTTGGTCATTCAGTTTCTCGTCAGAATGACGCATCAGATCCACCTCCATATCAGGAACATCAATTATATCCACAGTTGCCAGACCACTCTAAAAAATCTTGACAAAGTGATTTTAAAATCACCTTCTAGGTTTCTTTTATTCTTGTTGTTATACCTTGATTGCGAGAATGATTATGTATGTAACTATATGTAAGCCTTATATATATTTTAAGGTATCGATGTTGACTGTTAAAGGGTTAGTTCACCCAAAAAATGAAAATTCTGTCAGTATTTACTCACCCTCATGTTGTTCCAAACCTCTATGTGTTTATTTGTTCTGCTACCTTATTTGTCTTGACTACCATAGTAGGAAAAAATACATACTATGGTAGTCAATGGGGATTGAGATCTGTTTGATTAAAACCTTCTTCCAAATATATTCCTTTGTGTTCAGCAGAACAAATAAACACATAGAGGTTTGGAACAACATGAGGGTGAGTAAATACTGACAGAATTTTCATTTTTGGGTGAACTAACCCTATAATAATCTTAAGAACATAGATATTATATCAAACCAAGTCTCAACAGTAGACAAACAAGTCTGCTAAACACACAACCATGTTTTTATGGGGGTTTTTTTTGACACCGAGTACCTCTTTACTGTAATAAAACTTATGTTTTCATGAATGAATAAAATATAAAACTGATTTTACTCACATATTATAGGACCAATCTGGTAAACAACTGGAAAAACAATAGTTTGAGTAGTTCATTAATAGTTAAAAATGTATATATGGATGTTGTTTGGAGTAAAAGTGTGGCCTTTTGTTGTTCTTTAAAGCTACACTATGTAAGTTTAGGCCATCTAAATAATACTCTATGCATCTTGCGGTAGAACATTGTTTTGGTTGTGCTTCGGCTGTGAACGTGGTTCACGACACCAGTGTACACATTAAAATCTGAAAAAAGATGTCACCTGAGCAGGTGCCATATTTTATGTTGGTGTTTTGACATTGGAAACATTGAAATTTTTAAATAAATGACGGATCATGAAGTTTAACAAAGCTTTTTTTATTGTTTCTAGAACCGTGATTTCCTAATTGCCTCTATAACAGTTAAAAAGATGGAAAAAAAAATACTTTATTCCTGTCGTAAATTCCCAGAAATTGCCATTATAACATTATAATTACACAGAGGACCACTCATTGGCTCAATCTGCTTCTTAATAGGTTTCACTTTTTTATTCATATTAAGACATTATCAAATCATTATAATGTCATTACAAATCACATTTTGTCAAAGTTTACCTCTTCATTTGTATTTCAGATTAGGTTTCAGTTTTTACAATTATATCACATATTATGACAACAGTAAGACCTGAAAATAATGCTATAAAGGGGAGAACTAAGCATTTTCTTACCTATCATTTATTTCAAATATCTTTATCTAACGAAAAAGAGTGTGTGTGTGTGTGAGTGTGTGAAAATTGTGAATTTGTTACAAGTTTACCATTTCAAGTACCAAAGTATATATTTTTTTGGAATTATGCCAGCTTATTACACCACTGGCACTGGTGTTATAAAAAAGGAGACTGGTAAGCAATTTGTTACCTGTCATTTATTTCAAATATCTATTTACAACTAAATCTGTGTGTGTAAGCATGTTTAGTGTTTATTAAGTGTTATAGTTTAACATTTTTATTTCTATCTTATGTTTCTCCATTGTGGATGCGTGTCAGCCACACATTTCGGGTCTAGAACTATAGATGTCAGGGTCTTAACCATTTGAACCCTGTTAATTGGTTCTTGCAGCTATATTATTATCATTATTGTATACTATCATTAGGCTAAAAACGATATGAAGAGTTCAGATGCAAAAGTCTCTAAATGCCATTTGAAATTTTCTTCTTTAATAATGATTTTTATCAAACTTGTATATTTAAGTTCAGTAATCTCACTTAAATAACAATTAATAGGTAATTGTCATTGCAATTTAAGTGAAATCACTGAACTTAAATATACAAGTTTGATAAAAATGATCATTCTAGAAGAAAATTTCAAATGGCACTTAGAGGCTTTTGCATCTGAACTCTTCATATTGAAGTTGTGAATGTGACGGTAAAAACTTCTAAATATTTAATGATAGTAATGATAAAAAGACTAGGCCTACATGATTATGAGATCAAGAAACAACAAAAAGTGTTAGAAACATGCCAAAAACACAATTCAGATATAGCGATATACGATATAGATAAAAACCAGCATATATCTCTAACATATATAATACACCTTTATGCACTAGAAATGTGTTGTTATTTGCTTTATTGAAAATAAGGGAGTATGTCTGCATTGAAAGTTTATCGATTTATAACGACTAACTAGCCAGTTTAAATAATCTATTCTAATCTAAAATATCTATCTTTGAAACAAAAACCTTATATAAACAAAATAAACAATAACATCAAATAAATATGTTAAAATCAGTGGTGGAATGTAACGAAGTACAAATACTTTGTTACTTTACTTAAGTACATTTTTCACGTATCTTTACTTTACTTAAGTAGAATAAATAGTGCATACTTTTTACTTTTACTTCGTTATATTTTGCAGCAATTATTCTACTTTCTACTCCACTACATTTCTACAACTTCTGTTACATTTTCATTACATTTTCTGACCAGTTGTTCCCCTGCCAAAACGTAATATGACCGTCCGTCCGTTGCACGTTTGTCTCACCAGTGACGTTTGGTTGCCATAGATACATCAACTAAATGCGTCTCGCACGCAGTGTGTTTATCGTGCAATTTATACACGAAAATTTGTTTTTACGTGCATAAGAAACACACCATGTGTAATATACGTTTGGTTAGGATTATGGCAAGCCAAGTGGTTCACTGCGGTCAAGCCAGCCGCAGTTTGAAAATACACGGTCAAGCCAGCCGCTAAAAAAATAAGCGTGTGCGCCTATTACTATGAATACGGTAATTTCAGTCACAGCAGAGGAAGAACGCGCTTCAGAGCGCTTGAGTTGCCCAGATCGATATATCTATCTTTTCTTTCTTTCTTTCTTTCTTTCTTTCTTTCTTTCTTTCTTTCTTTCTTTCTTTCTTTCTTTATCTTTTTTTCTCTTTCTTTATCTTTCTCTATCTATCTATCTATCTATCTATCAATCTATCTATCTATCTATCTATCTTTTTCTTTATTTCTATCTATATATTCATAACCTTTCTCTTTCTTTCTTTCTTTCTTTCTTTCTTTCTTTCTTTCCATGCAGTATCACCTCATATCAAACAATTTTATAGCATTTTGGATAAATGTCCCATTATTCAACTTCAGAGGGCCATAAATACCTTATTTCTAATAAGTAGAAAAAATTAACTGTCAGTTCTTGTAGGGGACATCCCATAGAGTACACACACCTCATATCAAACAATTTTACTGCAGCATTTTGGAGTAATGTTACATTATTTGACTTCAGAGGGCCATTATACCTCTTTTCTAATAAGTAGAAAAAAATGACGGTCAGTTCTTATATGGGACGTCCCATACAGTATACGCACCTCGTATCAAACCATTTTACTGTAGCATTTTTGAGAAATGTCCCATTATTCAACTTCAGAGGCCCTTAATACCTCATTTTCAATAAGTAGAAAAAAATAATGGTCAGTTCCTATACGGGACATCCCATACATACGCACCTCGTATCAAACCATTTTACTGTAGCATTTTGGAGTAATGTTACATTATTTGACTTCAGAGGCTGATATATTCCTCATTTCTAATTAGTAGAAAAAAACAACGATCACTTCTTGTAGGCAACGTCCCATACAGTACACACACCTCATATCAAACAATTTTACTGTAGCATTTTGGAGAAATGTTCCATTATTCGACTTCAGAGGGCCATAAATACCTCATTTCTAATAAGTAGAAAAAAATAACTGTCAGTTCTTATATGGGACGTCCCATACAGTACACACACCTCATATCAAACTATTTTACTGTAGCATGTTGGAGAAATGTCCCATTATTCAACTTCAGAGCCCCATAAATACCTCTTTTTCAATAAGTAGAAAAAAATAACGGTCAGTTCTTATACGGGACGTCCCATACAGTATACGCACCTCATATCAAACCATTTGACTGCAGCATTTTGGAGAAATGTCAGGCGAAGGGATTCCTCATTCTTCTGCGGGGGTGAAGCTCGTTGAGCGCCTCGCACCAACATTCAGCTCTCGTACGCGATCGATGATCGAAACACTCCTGCCTTTCTTTTGTACCAGTTATTATGACAACCTCTTTGTCCCGGTTTTCCCCGAAGCCATAACTATGAGTAGTTAGTTAATGGAGACTTGTTTGATTAACCGCTTCAGTGAAGTGAGTTAGCGAGACAGTTACCGGAAGTGCCAGACCGGAAGTCTCGCACAAAACACCGTCAAAATGGCTGCGTCCGTATTTCCGTTAAAAATAAGGTGGATACAACACCTGGCTTGACATAGCCGCGCGTTCTCATCCTGGCTCAGCAAACGTGCAACGGATTAAGCCAGGATGCACTCATCAGACTAGGTCAAACCGTGACTGTTCAGTTATCCTGTCTTTCTTAATTCTACTTTTGTGCAATACCCCTCTGGATCAGTCCGAGTGACAGGAGTCAACAATGGTTACCATCAAAAATATCTTGTTATTTTTAGACATAATTTGTATTCTATCTCGGCCTTCAGGGTTTCAGCCCCCCTCTGAGTGTTGCTGTCTTCGTTCAGGCGTAATCCAGTTTATGCCTGATATATTTTAGCGTGTCCATATAATATTTTCCTATTGGCTTTAAAGAAGGGACCCTATACAAACAATGGTGTATATTTAGGCAAAATACATGCCTTCAAATAAATGATTTCAGCTTCATTATGAGGACACGAGTACGCTATCATGGCAGAAGGTTCAAAAGGGGGAAAAAAAGTATTTTAAACTTTACGAAAAAATGCATCAAATTGATGAAAATCTATTAAAAAAAAGTATTCCCTCAAAAAAACTGCGTCAGTACAGACATTGCACCATTTGTGTCAAACCATGTGCTAAAAAAATCCTCCTGACACCCAATACATTTTTTTTTTTTTGTCAGTGGATACATATTTTATGAGAATATCTCTGGAAACCCTTAGTGTGTCTGTGATACCAAACAAGCTATATAATAATATAATAATCATAATTTGACATGCTATAATGATAAAATATAACTAAAATGTTTTTCATAAATAATAAAAAAATTGCAATATGTTTCTTATGCA